CAGCTGGGGGGGGGGGGGTTACCTCTACTCCAGGTTGCTCAGCACCCTCCCCACTCCACCCTAGGATCTCTGGCTCTTAAACTTCGGTGAAGGATCAGATGTGGCTCCCAAGGCAAGTAACTCTGGCCACCCCTGTTCTAGAGGAAGGGTGGGAAAAAAGGAGTGGGGGCATTACACTGCGTATCAAGAACAAATATGGTTGGTCTGATGTTTAGGAAGAAGTGAGATGCAGAGTTGACTTATGTCATTGGGTAAAAGTAGAAAGGGAAAAGAAGCAAGTGTAATGTCAGGGTACAGGTCTTCTCTCCACCCAAAGTGGTGGGGGGGGATGAGGCTTTTATTGGACAACTAACAGAAGTACTCAAAAATAGGGCCTGGACTTTAATTACAGCAGGACAGAGAGCACATAAAGTTCTTTGACTGTGTTGGGGCAGAAGCCATTTGAGAGTGACTATTTGAGATCTGATTCAGACTAACAGCGAAGAACTGTTTGAGAATTCAAAGTTGGAAGGTAATTTAAGTAACAGTGATCATGAAATTACAGTGTTTGCTATTCTAAGGAAAGGAAAGCATGAGAGCAGCAGAATAATGACAATGGGCTTAAAAAAGCAGGGCCTCTTTAGAAGGTAATCTAAGGAATAAAGGAGAGCTGGCAGTTATTAAAAGACTGTGTGAAAGACACAAGGACAATTTATCCTGAGGTGGAGGAAAGATGAGAAGTACCCTAAGGGACCTATATATTTTAGCAAGCTAAAAAAATATATTTTTTCCAACTATTTAAGTTGGTCTAATAAAAGATATCAAATTCACCCAAAGAACCTAGTCTGTCCTTAGACCAACATGGCTACAACCTACACCCCTCAATATGTTAGATGTATTCAAGTCACCAGCAGGTCCTAATGAAATTCACTGTAGGATACCTAGGGAGCTGGCTGAAGCAGTTTTTGAACCAGGTGCAATTATCTCTGAGAACTTGAAGACTATGGGTGAAGTCCCAGAGGGCTGAAAAAGGGCAAATATAGTGCCTACCTTTCAAAAGGGGAAGAAAGAAGGTAATTATGGATTGGCTAGGCCAGCATTAATAACTAGAAGGATTCAGTAACAATTTTTTAGACAATCAATTTATAAGCAGCTGCAGAACAAGCTGATAAAAACAGTCAGTTTGGATGCACTGAGAACAAATGGTATCAAATCAATCTAATGTCCTCCTTGGACAGAGTAACTGGCTTGGTGGATATGGGGAAAGCAATAGATGTGATATAACCTGATGTTAGGAATGCTTTTTGAGACTCTCCAGCACGACCATCTTGTAAGCAAATTGGAGACATATTGTCTAGATCAGCGGTTCTGAATTGGGGGTACATGTATCCCCAGGGGGTATGTGAAGCCTCATCAGGGGTACGTGAGATATATTTCATACACTGACTAACACAGGTCAAAGGGCCTAAAAAAATCTTGACAATTTGAAATTGCTGGGGTTTTTTACTGCTGTAAGACGCACCTGCGTATGGAAACCAGATATCCTACTCCTGCTCCATGCCTCAGCCTCACATGGGAAAGGTTACTCCGAACACCCATCACTCAAATCATGTAAGGGTGTACGTGAAGTCTCACTCTGAGACTGAGGGGTACATTGACTGAAAAAGTTTCAGAACCGCTGGTCTAGATGAAGGTGGGCGCAGTTTTCAACTCACTTTCAGGCAGTTGAAAAACCTCACTCAAAGGGTCATTGTCAGTGGTTCACTGTCAAACTGAGAGGTCCAGTGGCATCCCAAAGATGTCTCTATTGGGACTGGTACCATACAAAACTTTAATTAATGACCTGAATCATGGAATAAAATGAACATTTACATACTTTGAAGATGTCAGCAAGCTGAGTGGGCTTGTAAGCACACTGAAGGACAAGATCAGAATTCAAAATTATACTGATACATTGGAAAAATAGTCCAAAATCAACCAGAGGAACTTCAATAAAGGTAAGCACCAGGGAAGGAAGATTTGCACACACAAACACAAAATGGAGACTGACTGGCTAGGTACTAATACTGCAGAAAGGATGTGGGGGATCACAAACTAAATAGGTGTCAGTGATGCGACGTGGTTGCAAGTGGTAGCCTGGAATGCACGACCTGGAACGTGGTATGAAAGGCAGCGTCTTCGCCATGCTCGGCAGTGCTACCATTTATGTACATCCTCTCCCTGGTCCCACCAAATCCCAGACACGAATCAATGCAGTCACCTTTGGGTGGTGTTGAACACCCGCTAATAAGCAAGGCTGAAACAAAGAGCCTGAGCGCCATGCTGCATAAACCAGGCAAAGCACATACATCTCAGGTGCAAATCTACCCTACCTTCTGCTTGATGTCAGACATATAGATATAGAGATACAGGTGTAGAGATATCTGTACCTATAGAGCTAGATATAGATAGAGAGCACAAGCTTTCGTGGACCAAGTTAACTTCATCAGATGCTGTGAAAGGACTGTAGTACAGGCAGTCCTCGACTTACAACGTTTTGAGTTACAACATTTCGCACTTACAACGTCTATAAATTGATACTGTTTCAACTTTACAATGCCAGTTTTGACTTACAATGTTTGATCTGATGCGACACTACACCAGCAAACAAGTTCACCGTGTTGCTCATCTCCCTGGAGAACGTCTGTCCAAACTTCCTTGGACACTTTCTTTAAGAAAGCAGACAAGACTCCAGAAAAACCTGCAGCCAAGACTCCTGAGAACACTCCAGCCGAGAGCCCTTCAAAAAGTCCAGCAAAGTCACCTCAAAGAAGTCCTTCCAAATCAATATGATTGCTATTTACAATATAAATACATCAATGTAGCTATATTACTCATTTATAATTGATCGAGTACAAAATTCTGGGGTATTTTTAGTGAAAATAGGGTATCAGGCCTGGTTTCAGGAACCCCCATTTATAACATTGTTTCTTACGAGAAAAATCGGTTCCGAGTTACAACGTTTCAACTTAAGACAAGGTTTTCCAGAACCGATTGTGTCCTAAGTCCAAGGACTTCCTGCATAGGACCAAACATTCGTTACCTGAGGTAAATTAGCTCGGATGCGATCGGCATGGTGGGAGCCCGCCAGCAGCAGCTTTGTGCCGTGGGGCATCGCACGTCGAAATTGAGTCTCCGGTGCGGATCCGCGCTCACTGTCGGTGACACGCGGTCCTGTAGTCACCATCCCTGTTACGACAGCAGTGGGCGAGTACCGAAAATTGTCTTGTAAAAGTGGTCGAAACGGGCCAGGGGGTCAGCACTGTCCAGGCTTTTTTTTGTGAGGTGGTAGAGCGGGTTCCCCCGACGTGCACTCGAGTTTCCAGGGGCATAAAGCAAGGGAAACCCGCACCACAATAGGCAGGCCCCCTCATCCATAACTTTTGCAAGCCAAACTCTATACAGCTCGATTATAAAGTGTGTGTGTCTGTGTGTGTGACGAGCTCTTCCTGAGCTGAAGCTCGTTTCATCAGACACGCACGTACACACACGCGTGTGTGAGGGGAGCCGAGGGCAGGGAAGATTTGCACCCTCCGAACCAACACTCCCCTCCTCCTCGGGACACCCGGGTGCCTCAGGCCGGCGGAGGCGGTGTTGGAGGCGGTGCCGGCAGCGCAGGCGGGCGGCGAGCCGGGCCG